CTTAGGTGGAACGGATCGCAGGATCACGGCGAGTGCCAGACGATCATGGCGGTAGACGATCTCCTCATCTTCCTCCGGCTCGACAGCATACCACCACCCCGTTGCCTCCAAGTTCACCTGCATCAACATCGCCCACTCCTGGTAGTTGGTGCGTGTGAGCATGGGGAACTTAGTGCCGGCGTCATCCGTGGTGCGGTGGATCACGACCTCACAGCGCTGGCGAGGGCGAGATGTGGCGACCTCGTCGCCCTCCACGGCCACCGGGCGGAACGGAATAGTGCTCCATCCCTTCTCATGGTCAACGGCTCTGGTACCAAATGTCAGCCGGAACCCTCTCCGGCGATCGGAATTCTTCCGATGAACTCGCTTACGAACGCTAAGATGCAAATAAGACTCAGGAATTTTTGGTGCTGCACAAACTGTGACAGCTTTTCTCAATATATTAGCCAACTATTTATATACAACGCTGACAATAATTCTGGAAAGTAAAAGAAAGGAAATCCAAAGATGCATACGTGAGGAACAAGCTAGCTAATCTTGCCGTCCACCATACCATACGTGCATGTACATGTACGTATACCATACAAGGATGCGCTCGGGAGGAGAATTTCCATGCCAAGCTCAACTCTATCTGTAAAAAGGAAATACGCAGGAACTCAGGATTACATGCCTTGCTTACATCTTTCAGGAACGAATTCATCTGTTAAACTCCATTAACTCTGATTTTGTATCTGACTGATGAGACAGGTCATAATCAAATCAACCCAACGTCGGGCAAAGCCTAGTTTGATCATCATCTCCTCCAAAAACTCCATTCCACCCTATCATACGCTTTGCTCATATCAAGCTTTATCGCAGCATAACCATGTTTCCCCTTCTTCCTCTTCTGTATGTAGTGGGTGGCTTCATATGCAATGAGGATGTTGTCTGTCATCAAGCGCCCTGGGATGAATGCACTCTAAGCTAGGGGGATATATCCGGAAGGGTGCCTTTCAGTCTATTTGCCACCACTTTGGAAATAAATTTATATATGACATTACACAGACTGATCGGCCTCAAATCCTTTATGTGCTCTGGCTTTCTCACTTTAGGTATCAACACCACTGTTGTATTATTCCACCTTTAAGGCATAGTCCCTCCTTGTAGGACTTTTAGCACCTCAGTAGTCACCTCATCACCAACAATGTCCCAGTACTCTATAAAATAGAGCCGGCATACCATCAGGTCATGGGGCTTTCAAACTCCCAATAGATTTTAGGGCAGCATACACCTCCTCCCTCGTGAAAGCTTGTGTCAACCGAGCATTCATTTCTTGAGTAACTTTTGGTTCAACACAATCCAGTAGCCATTGGGTATCATGGCTGCTGGATGACCCGAAAATTTGTGAAAAATAGTTAGTAATAAAAGCCCTCTTCTCTACTTCATTCTCCACCCAAACCCGACTCCTTTTTTAGGTTTCCTATTCTATTGTTCCTTCTCCTCTCCGTAAATGACGCATGAAAGAATGTCGTGTTCCGATCCCCATACACCATCCATTTAACATGAGCACGTTGCTTCCAATAAAGATCCTTCTGTTCTTCCGCCTTGTCAAGTCTATATCTCAGAACACCTTCCCTAGCAATGCTATCCTGATTTAGGCTTCCTCTCCTACTAGACTCCAACTCCTTCCTCAGCTCCTTCACCCTTCTGTCCAAGTCGCCCAACACATTGGACCCCCAACTCGACAGATCACCTGCAACCATCTCTAGTGATTCCAAGACAGGAACTCGGCCTCCCATCATCGATTTATCCCACGCTTCTTTGACCACCGTCCTACATGCCTCCTCCTCAACCCAAGCAGCTTCAAATCGGAAATCACCCCCCTGTCCACCTGTTGCCTGACCACTTCCCAGTATTGATCACCAGTGGGCGGTGGTCCGAGTGTCTTGGGTCCCCGTTGACAACTTTAAAGTTCAGGTACATCTCCTGCCATTCTGGGTTCGCCACCACCCTGTCTAGCCTTTCACGAATATAGCCTTCCTCATAATGGTTGTTATTTCTCCAAGTGAACTTAAATCCTTCATATCCCACGTCCTCCACACCACATTCCTCTAGCACTAGACGAAACTTATCCATGCCCCTCTGACTTCTTTGCCTCCCTCCTTCTTTCTCATGCGCAAAAAGGATTTCATTGAAGTCACTAGCCAACATCCATGGTTTCCTAGGATTTTGATTAGATCCCGAAGCGTTTGCCATGTTTGTTCCTTCAAGTCATTGTGAGGTTCCCCATAAACCCCTGTAAACCTCCACTCCCGACCGTCATCATCTTTGACGTCCATATCAATGTGGTACATTGAAAAATTTCTCAGCGCCATATCGACTCCTCTCCTCCACAACACAGCAATTCCCTCCCCTTTTCCTTCACAATCTTTCACCACCATGTTTACAAGCCCTAAGGCCCATCGAAACCACTGCATCCTCTTCTCGTCTAACTTCATTTCTGACAAGAACAAGATGTCCGCTCCCACCGACTTCTAGAGTTCCAGAAGCCCCCAAACTGTCGAGTGGTTGCCCAGACCCCGGCAGTTCCATGCCACAATCCTCATTGGTTCCCGCAGAGCTGGTTCACCAGCTCCGCATTCAAAGTATGGTCATCACTTTCCTCCACAACGTCATCCCCCTTCAACTTCTTCTCCCTTCCCTGCTCATCCACATGCATGTCACTACTGCTTCGCTTCCCACCTACCCTCTTCCCATTAGACACACCGCTTTTCCCATCCTGCTCCCTCCCAATCTTCTTATACTTCCCCTTCCTCCGGTCCACTTGCCCCTTCTCCTCCACCCTCGACTTCTTTGCAGCATCCACCGCCATGTCCACACTGTGGTATGTGTCTCCATTCACTTCTTTCTGAAAAATCTCTCCCACAACCCCCTGCTTCGGTTCCTCCTTCTCCTTATCAAACTTCTTTTCCAAGTTCAAAGCTACAGATTTGTGTCCTGGCTCCCTCCTTTGTGGTGGGACAAACTTCTTGAAAGGGCTCTGCACCTCTTGCTCCTCCCTTGTCTCCTCGTCACTCTTACGTCAGATCAGGGATTCACTCCTCATTGAACCCGAACCTTTCACCTTCGACCCTCCATTGTTTCTCCCGAACTCACCACTCCCACCTGATCTCCAGGAGCCACTCCTCCTGTTTGAGGTTTCACAGCCTCAGGAACCCTCATCCCACCTTTCCTTCTCCGACACAAACCTCAACTTCTTTGAAAACTACAGTGTTCCTCCACCGTCTCCCTTCAACACACAAGTTTTATCTGTGTGTCTAATAATCCCACGGAAATAGCAAAAGTCTGGCAAGTATTCATACACCATTGGGCACCAAAGTGGGGGTTCACCATCCTCCACGACCAGTAAGACACCACGCATCAGCGGCTTTGTGATATTGAGCCTCACTTTGATCCACTGGTAGTGACCCACCGTCGACCCATCTTCCTCCAGATCCATATCCACAAAAACTCCCACTTCTTTGTCGATCATCTCCCCAGCCTTCTTGTTCATCATCCCCAGAGGCAAACCCAAAACCCTAATCCAGATCGGGATGTTATCAAACATGATATCTTCCAACCTCTTACGACCATCAAAATCCACCACCACAACAAGATCTTTCCCAAACAACCATGACCCATCATCACTCGCCCTTTTCTTCCCCGATTGTTGGTGAAAGGTAAAAATGAAGTGGTTTGATCCGAGATCCTTATAGTCGATCCCTCGTATTGGGCACCAAACCTTCCCCAATGTTTGCTCCAAAGCCTCTGTGTGGACAGGACGATCTGCCAGCACCTTGCCGATCGCCTGCTATCCCACTGACTTCAGTGATCCTCCTCCTCCCGTCTTCACCCTAATTCCCTTCTTCTCTGCCTCCGACAACTTCATTTTCTCCATCAACCCCGCCACCGCCTCCATCAACACCACCCACCCAAGACACCCCCGCCTCGGCAGCCAAAAACCCTAAACCTCGACTTCTTTGGTAGAAGACTACGTGGTTAGCAGAGGGAGATTTAGGCTCCGTCACGAAAAGGTTTACGTGGACACGATCGTGGGATGGGACTTGGACTCTAATTCAGATCGATTAGTGAGATCTGAACCGGGAACGAGAGGGAAGAAGGAGACCTAAACTCACTGAGACCAGGAAGCCCTAACTCGATACGCCCGCGAGCGTACGAGACTGAGCATGGGAAACACCATTCTGCACTGCATGAGGGCAAAAAATCATTCATGTTGGCTTTGACTCAATTACTTTAACAGCCGACTAACTTGTCTCCGATAAAGGCCCTAGAGTGTGACAAAGGCCCACGTTCATGCAAGCCTAGTCCAATCGAACCCAACACCTGGCACTTGAACCAGAACTGCATACCCTGCCATACATCGTCAACTCCATGCACAAATGTAGGCCCGCCTTCTTTTCAACCCATTTCACTCGTTCCAAGCATGAGAAGCATCCATGAGTTCTGGACAAAGAGTAAATTTGGCGTGGGCCGGGAGCAGTAAATTTGGATTAGACGCACGAGAAAATTGGGAACCAGCTTGTGTTGGAGCGTGAGTTTTCTTATTCCTCTCCAAAATGGGGTTTTCGGAACTTGTTTTGGATATTGTTCAAGATGTTTTATGATAGTCAAAATGCAAAAAAAAAAAAAGATCTTTGGCGCTCAACAATAGTTTGGGCGACAGAATAGTTTTAGAACATAACTTCGATACTACTATAACTAGTCGTGTGTTGGTGTGATAGGGAATAATCCATGGATCAGAAATGACAGAGTCCTTCTGCTGAAGAACATAGTCAACTTGTTTTTCTGGCCTTTGTAATTCTACTCTCTAATTCCAAGAAACATAACAACAATATAAGAAAACAAAAATATATTATAGGTAGATAATCGACTAAAGAAAAGGGTGCGCAAAATGACCTATAGGATAGGATGCATGTGACGATTCCCTCCCGATCAGTTGCAAATGGAAATGGGGTAATAATCTACAAGTACCCGAGCATGCATGCCATCCCCACGGCCGCCGCACCAATCCACCAACTCATCACTCGCGCCACATGGCCACGCGACGGCGCTGGCGCTTCAGCAGTGTCGGGAGCCTCCGCGGTATCGCCCTCTGAGGTCGGAAGCGTCCTCGGAGATAGCCGCGGCAACGTTAACGACGACGGCGCAGGGCTCGGCGCGATTGCCATCTGCCTCATCCTCGGCGCGGGCGGCGACGGTGGCGGCAGCGGCAGCCGCGGCCTGGTGATGATGCCCGGCGGCACGACGAAGTTGCTGATCTGGAGCACGGATATGTTGTACGGCCTCGCGGTGACCGCCCTCTTGAACGTGGCGTTGATCAGCGACCCCGGCGCGGCCGACACGAAGACGGCGCCGCCGCGGCCCGTGGCGGTGACGTTGAGGAACCCCGTGCGGTTGCGCGCGGTCCCCGTGGTCTGGAACAGCGTGGTGACCACGGCGGGCTGGCCACCCCGGGGCAGCGCCGCCAGCTTGGCGGCGTCGATGTAGTCGAGCACGACGTGGACGGAGATGAGCTCCACGAGCGCAGCGCGCGGCAGCCTGGCGCTGCGGCGGAGGAGCCAGTCCACGGCGGAGTTGTCCGGGACGAGCACGGTGATGGAGCTCCGTCTGTTGACCTCGCGCGCCACGCGGGTCTTGCTGAGGAGGAAGTTGAAGAGCTTGAACTCCGGGTACTGGCTCAGGATCTCCGTCACGTTGAAGGCGGCGGCGGCGTTGCCGCCGGTAGCCGGTGGGGCGGCGACGGCGGTGGCGGGCAGGAGGAAGAAGAACACGAACAAGAAGGTGCTAGGAGCCATGCGTGCGCCGATGCACGAACACGCACAAGCACCGATAGCGCATGGCGTGTGGCACGTAGAGTGCTATATATAGAGGGATGGGCGGCAGGTCATGAACTCGACAGCCGGAGAGAAATTAGAGGACAGGAGGAGTTTAAGGTCTGAGAAGTTAGAGTGCGTGGAGACTGGTCTCACTCTCAGAGTCTGACCAGTTCTTGAGGCGCTGGCATGATGCATGTTCCCTGAAATACAGGGGCAAGTTTGATCATGCTAATGGCCAGGAATAATTGTCATGGTCAATACTAGTTAAGTTCATCAGTTCAAACTTGTCATGACCAGGATTCCCCTGTTTTCATTTTCACTTTCACTTCAGTAGAGTAAGAGAGAGGGTAGGGATTTATGAATTATCATCAGTAGTTTTTTTAGTAGTTAAGTTCCTGGTCTAAGAATGAAAATGGGCCTGTCTGAGCCGGTGCAAAACCTGGCCCATTTTTGGGTGGGCTCATCTGAAGCCCAACTAAATCAGCCCAATATCACAAAGTAGTAGCAACGTGAGCCTTCTTACTTTCTTTTCCTTTTCTTTTCTCAAAAGAAAATGCTGAGAGACAAGGCAACAAGGTACGTAAGCTAGTCCTGTGACATCAGAAAGACTGAAACCAGACATCCGGCATTCTGCTCACCTCACAGTTCGCCCATTGTTTCGCTGTAATCTATTCCCTAAAACGTCAGTTCGATCATCGACAGGACGTCGTATCGTATACACACACCTCTGATCGATCTCGGACTTGTTTAGATAGTTGTTATGAATCAGTATTTGGCACTGTAGCACTTTCGTTTGTATTTAACAATTATTGTCTAATCATGGTCTAATTAGGCTCAAAAGATTCGTCTCGTAATTTACAATTAAACTGTGTAATTAGTTATTTTTTTATCTACATTTAATACTCTATACATGTATCTAAAGATTTGATGTGATAGAGAGAGTGTGAAAAAACTTAAAATCTAAACAACGCCCTCTCCCTGGAATCCAGTGGATGCATGGCATGCGTGCATGGCCGTGAATTTGTATCCACATGCAGCGCGACGAAGCCATGGCCACACGATATATATAATAACTTTATCGACGAAGAGAAGAATCTTCCAATCAAGTGAAATGATATCACACACCACACATAGACGCACGGCACGTAGACACGCACCAGGTCACCAAACCCAGCCAGCTCTGAGCTCTGCACGACTGCACCACCATGTCCAAGCGGACCAAGCCGGCCGACATGCATGGATGGGTAGTACGTCGCGTCGGAGGAGCCTCTGGACGGCATGACCTTAAAACCTCGCACGTGTCCCGCCTCTCGGTCCAAGGGGACTGTAGCTTGCACATGCTATCCGTTTTGTCATTCAGTCCTGTCATGTCACGTTGCATGGAACATGCATCCACACATATGCATGGGAGAGACAACAACATTGAATCGTCTAGCTAGCGAGAGAACGAATATATATCCATCAGCATGCGTTTTTTCTCAGGGGCGGAATAGGAGCGGTTTGGCAAATCGTCCCTACTAAACCGTCTCTATAAATCATGTATTTGTAGGGGTAGTTTTTAGGCTGTCCCTACAAATCGATTTGTAGGGACGGCTGTAGTACCAGCCGCCCTATATAATACCTGTTTGTAGGGGCGGTTCAGTTTAGAACTGCCCCTACAGTACGTTTTTCCGAAAAAAAAATCAAATTTACAATTCAAATTCGACCAGGACACTGTTTGTTTTCGCGTATTCCATCCAGCGTTCGCGTTGCCGAACACCCCGCGACCAGCGTTCCGAACCCCTTAGACTACAAGCACAAGAGTATTATATAAACTACAATTATAAGTCTAATTCAAAAAAATATATACAATCTATCATTAAATAGACATAATTCATAAGGTAAAACCAATGTCAAATTCCATACACATTGTTATTGACGTCCTAGAGTTAGCCTTTCAGTCTCACAAAGGTGTTGGTACTGAGAATTTCTATCTAAGTCAGACTCTCGGTCATGGTAGACGCCTTTGACGTGTACAATCTGGTGCAATATGAAGTTGCAAAGGTCGCCGACGAGCTCTAAGAGTTGGTCATCCTTGTATGGGTCTCTTTTAATTTCTTTCTCTTCTTTCCACTACAAGAGAACAAGTTTCGGTTTAGTATTTCATACCATGTACGAAGTTTTTATACTACGGGTGAAGAGGTTCAAACTTACCCTTAAGGGGTGTCTCCTGTAAGCACTGGTGTTACTCATCATAGAACATATATAGTATCCACAATGTACACTCCCAGGCTTTTGCCTGGGGCACTGTATGTTTTGCATATGAAAATGTTAAGTAATGCTTTTGACAGCCATGTAATGAAGTACTGAAGAAGTAAGTTATACTTACCGCACATAGTGTTTTTATAGCCAGCTTTTCCTTCCTTGCTGGATTATGCCTTTCATGATGTTTAGTGACATAGAACCTAAATGCCCTGTTCAAATTATTTTAGCAAATACAACTTGTTAGTATCCAAAAGTGAACGTTACAAGTATGTATATAAATATATAAGCTAATGAGGATTGTTGATATGTATACGTCTTGAGAATCGATATGAAGTCTTTGTATGTCATCGGGTCCCTATCTATTGAATCAAGACCCATGCCATGCTCCTCCCGACATCGACGGCTATACAAATCCAGTGGTTGCTGCATGGATTTAATCATAGAACTAGATAAGCTCTTTTGCATCGAATAAAATATATCGAACAAAGCTTTAAGTATAGAGTTGAACTTACTCGAAGTTGTATGGTAGCCATATAGTAGAGTGCTGTTGGAGAATTTTGAAAGCCAGGGCAATGTATGCCGCAACCTTAAGGGACTCTTCCCTTAGTTTCGTCGTACGGATGTGCTCTTTCTTCCGAAGAGTCTTTACAGCAACTAGCTCTTTGGCATCCAGTTTCCACTATTTAGGGTAATTAAAATTTGTTTGGGCTATAGCTTGAGGGTCTATATACCCGGCTTTCACACTTGGCATTTGTTTGACAATGTGCACTTGCATTCTACAAATCACGGCGTGGATTAGTTACAACAAAATTCAAAGATTACATTCATATCATATCGGGAGGACAAGGACTTACAAGCACCACGTGCGAATTAGATTCATCTCCATTACTCCCAGGTGAAAGCATGTCTGCATGTCATTGAAGTCAAAGATAATTTTCCTGGCTGGGCTTCCAAATGTGTCGGTGGGGAAGCATGCTTGTATGAGGTCTATGCTCGTTGGGAGAACACGTAAGTACCAATCATGGAACCTTCTCATTCCAAGTGGTAGGCGCTAGATATCTCGGTTTGGTAGGAAGGGCTTGCCTCTTTCATATGTTTTCGGGCAATCCTTTGACCATTTGATGGCATCAACATTTGGATACTGCTTTGCAATTTGGTGGAGTTTGCTAGTGACGGCCTCCTCAGAACCCCGTGATGGGACTTTTTTAACTTGGTTCTTAGGCTTGAACTGGTCATGGGAATACCACTTGGACACCGACGAGACGTCTTTCATCGGAACATAAACTGGCCTTATGGTGATTGGATGCTTCTTTTGAAGTTCCCATTCAGGCACGTCCTCATCTTCTTATGCATCACCTTCTTCAGGAGGCACTTATTGTTCATGTATCGGCTGTGCTTGTTGAGAAGACTTTGGCATCTCATCATGCACTTGCTCGGTACGAGCTGGAGAAGGTTGTGGCATCTCATCAGGCACATGCTCGCTATGAGGCAAGGAAGAATGTGGCATCTCAAGAATGTGGTGGTCACGAGACGGTGAAAATATCTCCCCAACCTCAACAACTCGCTCCAAATTTAGGAGAGGAGATGCGGCGAAGAAGCAGTCAATATAATGTCCCGTTTGTGCCAGAGGATGAACTGCCCCATAATGTCTCTGAGAAACACCAGCCCCTCGGGAGTTGCGTAGTCTCTCCTCCACTACATGAACTCGGGCTTCACGGTATGCACCTCGACCCTAGTGTAGTTCGACCCTAGTGTAAACCACCTGGAGGATGTGCCACACCTGTTGCCACCTCCATAACAGTGTTCTGCCGGCCGCTGAGAAACACCAAGGTGCAACTAGTTGGTTCCCGTATGTGATCGACGGGGGTTGTGGCTGCAGTGGAACCTTGGCTGCTAGGAACTTTCAGAGGGCTGTCAACTAATGCCAGTTCTCCCGACGACGTCATTAATATCCGTGGCTCCGTAGACAGTCCTTGCTCCTCCAGCGCCTTCGCAACTAGAGCCTTTACTTGGAGCTCCAGATTAGTCTCTCGGTCTCTGTCATATTTCTTGTACATGTGCCTGTCCTCTTCGAATACTTGCTTCTAGGTCGTCCTTTTCCTGAGCCCCCTGGTGCGGCCTATGTGCTCCTTATTTCCCAAGCCAAGGCTAAGCTCATCCCTCTCTCTGGAAGGATTGAATGAGCCCTTTTCTTTGTCTTCAGCATATTTCAGTATCCTTGATACTGCCTCTTGGGTCTCTGGCTTATCAAAATTAAGATTACCGCCGGATGATTCTGTACTCCTCGCATATATCCAATTCCTTTAGCGTACCTTCAAATTCGTCACATCGATATTCCCAGCAGCTGCGGCCTCTTCGTCCATCTTCCTAAACTGCTCTTCCTTAGAATAGTAGCCACCGGGGCCTAGATGATGGTGGTGTTTGTTCCTCTTCGCCAGCTCGGTGTTACGGGCACTGAGCTCCAATTCCTCCGGTGAAATCTTTTTTGAGCCACGAGCTCCTCCCATTGACTAGGAGTTATTTTGTCGAACTCGTTGAAGGGAGTTAACCCCTTTTGGATATACTTCTTGTTGAGCTCCGACCTCCAACATTGGAATGACTCTCCCATCATCCTGAAAGCATTTTTTACCAGTTCATGCTTACCCTCCAAAAATCTAAAATTGAGCTTCAACTGCCTATCCCATAGTTCATTCTTTTTGTTCTCTGGTACCTCTTTTTAGTTAGGGATTGCTAGG